TGGGTTTGAACAGGACCCAGATTATATCTACACCTGATCGGAAAACCGTGCTCGGTAAAACAAACAGAAGTAAAAGAAAGAAATATCACAGTTGGAGTCAGAGTTGATTGTGAAGAAAATATGAACGGAAAACGTCCTCGTGGATTGCTCCTTTTCTTTGTACAATCATGGTCAATACAGTTTCATCAATGAGTGCCGGGTAAATTGGAGTCTTGACCTATGAAATCTGGCCTTTTAACGTTGCACCTGAAACTAGTATGTTTCAGAGAACTGAGGTCTCTCTCCCACGAGACGAGAGGTCATCTCTTCTGTTTTCTCTCTACCAGCTCGTCTGTGAGAACCCTGCTAAATATACTCAGACAACGCAGTGTTGGAAGCCAAGAACTCCCACCGGCAACACAATAATCCGGACGCTCGATCGGCAAGGGCCAGTATGGGTCCTGTGAAGGAGGCCAAGGATCTTGGTATGAAGATCCAGGCTGATTTCAAACCAAGTGCACAGTGCCGACAAGCGGCACGAAAAGCACTTGGAGCTCTCTTCCAATTGAAGAGAGCAGTGAGCTTCAGAAGGCCACAGGTTGTAGTACCACTGTACATGGCTTTTGTGCGCCCTCATCTGGAGTACTGTGTTCAGGCGTGGAGCCCATATTTAGTTGGGGATATAAAAGTACTCGACAAGACGTAGCGGTACTTCACCAGATGGTTCCCAGGAATACGGAACCTTAGAAATGAGGACAGGTTGGAGAGGCTTGGGCTCTTCTCGCTGGAGAGAAGAATGAGAAGGGGAGACCTGATTGAGGAATTCAAACTCCTAAAGGGTTTGGATGACATTGGGGAAGAAGCGAGACCACTACTACCTCCCAGCGAGAACCCAATGTTAAGGGGTAATGATCTTAAGTTAGCTAAGGTCAGAGTTTCCCCCGTATAAGGCAGCAATCGTTTGCCATAAGGGTGGTGAACGACTGGAACAGACTACCCAATGAAGTAGTCAATTCCAGCTCGGTGAAGAGCTTCAAGACCCGCCTGGACGCCGTATGGCAAGGCCTTTTCACCCGACCTTCTCTCACTTACTCTCTCACTCTTTAGCCATTACTACTACCTTCTATTCTGTCCATACCATATCCCCATGCAGTCACCATCACCTGACCACCTACTTGCCACTAAAACTCTTCTTTCCTTGCGGCCGGGGTGGTAACTTGGTTGATGCCGGTGTCAGGGCTGCTGCTCTGATCCATTAGGCGTGACCGGAATGTGGCGCGAGAGTGGGAGGTCAACACCCAACTCTCCTGAAGTTTTGATCGCAAAATTGAAGAAGAGTCATCTCCCTCTTCCATCTGTCGCAGCATCGAGGGATCCCTGGAGCCCACCGCTGCAAGAAACTGGACTAACTGGCACACCGCTGTCAACGTCCTGGAACTGAACTGACTGGACTGGACAGGTGTTGGAAGCCAACGAAACCGCCGACAACACAAAGAACTGGACGCGCGATTGGCAAGAGCCACAATTCGGCCTGGGAGAACTGAACTGAACTGAAGGTTGTTTGATCGCACTGCTAGGCAATCGGCGGCAACGTTCGTCCTTGATTTTTGTCAACTGTTTGATGCGCCCTGCCGCCTGGAAGTATACTATTCGACGCAACTTCTATACGTTTCTCGCTCCGGCGTTCGTGGCATTCATTATATACAAGGATTACCAGCGCACACAGCGAGAAAAAGTAGACCCACTTTCGTACCTAATTTTGTAATTTTACAGAGAATAAAAGAACAAGATGGGTCTTCCTAGCTGGCTTAGCTACAATCTTGGAGGCCGCGTAGCTGGCTTAGTTGGTGGCGCTGGAAGTTTCCTTTTATTAGCCTGGGCTTTTAAACGCGCTTTTCCTTACGCAAACACACGCTTGAAGAATCAGAGCGCACTGTACGGAGGTCGTAAGGTGCCTGATGGCGAAGATCCGTGGAAGTATTGAGTGCTTTGTAGCTACATTACTTTGAATAAATAGATACTTCAAACCTTATCTTTTCTTTTAAACTTGTCGCAATCACATCCTTCAACCGTATATATTTATTCCAGCCAATCAGTTATGGCCACGAGGACTATCCGACAGAATCCGGATGAGCAATTGAAAAATATAGAATTTGAGACATCTGAGGATGTTGATGTCATCCCCAGTTTTGAATCCATGGGCTTGAGAGACGACCTGCTGAGGGGAATATATGCTTACGGTATGTTTAGTTTTCCGCCATTGATTTATTCGAAATCAGGATTTGAACGCCCCTCAGCTATCCAACAAAGAGCAATCAAACAAATAGTCAAGGGCCGTGACGTAATTGCACAGTAAGTGTGTGTTTCAGGTCCTCACGGTATCTTTAGGGCTCAATCAGGCACTGGTAAAACTGCCACTCTTGCTATGTCCATCCTTCAAATGCTGGACACTCAGTTACGCGAAACTCAAGCCCTTATTTTATCGCCTACCAGAGAGCTGGCTTCCCAGATCCAAAAAGTAATTCTTGCACTGGGTGACTACATGAATGTGCATTGCCATGCGTGCTATGGAGGCACCAACATAGGAGAAGATATCAGGAAGCTCGACTATGGTCAACACGTCATATCGGGGACTCCGGGTCGCGTGTTCGGTAAGTCTGAAGTAAATTTTCTTTTATTATACGGGGTAAACCGCATCGTCATAAGGAACGGCTGTTCTCACGGAAACCTAACCCCTGGGAGTGGTTTCGTCGGTCACCGGCGTGCTTTCGACCCTATAGTTCGAGGTTTGAGCCCCACCACCGCCACCCAACTTTGGTGGTAGGGACCTTTGATATAATCGGGTTCAATACCACCCCTAACTGATCGGGGCCTTATGTGGTGTGCCACTCCAAATTCCGGGCCTTGGGTTACCGGTTTCCGTTTATGGACAGCAGGTCCTTGTGCCTATCGGGTTCATCCCGTCTGCTGTCCATTTAGCTAGTGTATAATAAAGTAAACAAGACCTTAATGTCTGCTGATTTTGTGCTGAACCAGTTCTTCCTGATTGACCGTCATTGAACTACGATACACAGTTTTAAAAACCTAACATGCATAAGCCTTACGACCATCGTTTCCTGTGGCTGGTCACCCCTCCCGTTCACCTCGCGAAGTGCTCCCATACGACCGAGCGTTTCAAATAGCCTCTGCTGAGGAAGCTCTACTGACTGCCTTCTCGTGGCCTGGACAACGTGCCTACGCTGACACTCAAGCTATCCAGGAAAGCTTGAAACTTTCCTGGGTCTTCACTTAGCAGCACAACGTCGTCTGCATACTCCAAATCAGACAGGCTGCTATCTGGGAGCAAATCAGTGCCACTGTCCTCGCACGAGAATAGAACCTCGTAACCGTAAACAGTGGCGTTCGTGTCTCAATTTCTCCGCAACAATGGCAACACCAGAAAGGACGAGTCTCATTGTCGCGAGGATCAGTTCAGTTTTGCGAACATTTGTATTGAATGCATGTTCAACCCATGGCTGATGGTAAATTCAGTTTTTAACAACCATTAGCCATACATTTTGTGCACCGGTCTTCGATACTGTCTTTTAGCTGCCCATTTGAAAGAAGGGTGAATATTAGAATGTTCGTCGACATCGTCGCACAAAGAGATAGAGTTGTATAGGTGGTGCTGGCGCAGCGGTTTAGTCGCTGTCACCGACGTGCTTGGGACCCTGTGTTCTGAGGTTCGAGCCCCCTCACTGCCACTCGACTTTGGTGGTAGGCAGCTCCGCTGTTGTCCGGTTCGATACCACGCCTAACCTATCGGGGCCTTATGTGGTTAGCCACTCCAAGTTCCGGGGCCTAGGTTGCCGGTTTACACCACTGAACAATAGGTCCTCCTGACTATGGGGTTCTCCCCGTCTGCTGTTCATCACACTTAAGTGTGTAATAAAAAGAACTTTGAGCACTCAATTTACGCAAAGTGAGAAAGTACAAAGATAAGGGTTGGGCCTGACCGGAGGGAGGAAAATAAAAAGAACCTCTATGGTCAACACAGCGCACAACCTAAGTGCATATATAACTTTTCAAGCGTTCTGACCTGATGAGAACGCTACTGCTGTCGATTCGCTGGCATATCCTTCAGTGTCTCCCACCCACCAACCAAAGAGTCTTTCATACCACAGCCCGGAAGGTGCGTGACACCTACTCTACTTAATGGCTCTGCATTTCTTCATGCCTTGTTTCCACCTCATCTGTTAACCTCCACTTGGTTTCCTCCAACCTGGAGCCGCAACTGCGAATAAGGCGCGATGAGGTAGACGACGGCTAGGTATGAGCAATAAGTGTCCTAACCAGCGAAGCCTCGTCATCTGAATTCCATGTGATGAATTTTCCACCGTGGTATTACCGAATACACAAATACTTGTGTTATTTAGACGCTTGCTCTATAGAACCTGCGCCAAACTAAGTAAACACCAGCAGTGAAAGACTTCTAGACAACAAATCTCTTCCACGTGCAAATTACTCGTCTCGCAACCGTAAAACAGAACCGACCGCACACAGGTGCAGCATGCACAACTTTTCAGTTCCCAGAAAACATCACGTCTGCACCAAAAATGTTTCGGTCCTGCGTAAGCTTCCCGTGCCTTGGAAATGCGGGTGGTTACATCCTTGACTATGCTACCATCACTTATCACGTAACTACCTAAGTAGGAGAAACAATCCATAATAACTAATTCTTGACCATCAAGCGTCAGATTCGGGGTAGACGACATCCAATCTTGTAGGATCGCTTTGCAATCTGAAGGTGCATAGCGCAAACCAAATCGAGTCATCGAACGCTTTGCACATCCTCCACACGTTCGAACCTGCCTTGGTCTGGGCAACCTGGTAGTATTCAGCCTTTGCAGTTAGGTTCTTGTTAGAACTAAAGGCTTTGGACGAGAACCCNCCCTAGCAGTACCCGTCCGCCAAACCCCAATGTATACAAAAATGAAAATAATTCCATACTGCATCGGTCGTCGCGCAGGATAATCAGGACCGCGCTGCCCAATGCATCGAGCGGGGTGGGTAGAGATGAGTAGCCTACTGCTCAGATATCCCAACCTTTGTTCAACTCTTTCTGCCGTTCCCAGCCCTCTCCCTTTACCCCTTCTACCGACCTGTAATAGTCCCTCAAGCAACTTGAATGTCCCTCGCCAAAGGTCGTTGTCAAATAGCAATGTAAGTGATTTACCACGAAATGGATTGCAGATTCTAAAGCCTCGTCAATCACTGAATCTGAGGGCCTTCAACGTGAGCTACGTCAACAAGCTTGTCTGGCTCGTACAATGGAGTCCTTAGGAATCGATATTTGCTGCGTGTCGGAAACTCGGATCCAGGATCCTACTACTCTAAGCCACTTGAGCGCGCCAGATTTGTCGACGAGATACGTTCTTAGCACATCAGGCGACGATGAAGCCCGTTCAGTAGGTCAGCGCGGAGTAGGTACTGAGTAATTGGGCGGAGTCTTATCGATTGGATCCCCGTCAACAGTCGTTTATGTGCGGTGCGTCTCCAGGGTTCATCCAGCGTCCGGAAGGGAAGTAACAGTAAATGGTGATTGTTCATCATTTTGGCATATGCATCGATCAATTACAGTTCTGATACCCCAAAAGACGCTTTTTACGATGAACTCATCGATCTCATGCGGCTAAGTCTGAGCTCTGGCGCAGTTGTACTTGCAGGGGACTTTAACGTGCAAGTTGAAAAACAGCGCATCAGAAGCTTGCCTGGGTGGTATTTGTGCTCTACCGTGCAAACGAACAGATAACGGCGATCGACTTCTTTAGTTCTGCGCAGACCATCATCTGTTCCTATTTAGCACCAACTTTCGATACAGCTCTCGATGGACGGCAACGTGGCGCTCCAGTTCAACTGATACGCTAACGCAACTCGACCACATAGCAGTAAGTTACCGTTGGTGTGGCTCAGTGCCAAATTGCAGGTCCTATTGGACCACTTGCGTTGAGTCCGACCACGCATTAGTTTTGATGCAGCTCACTCTCCGACTGACTGGTCGGCGACAAAATCAGCAAGCTCGGATAGCTCATCATCGGCTATCTGTTCCAGCAGTTCATGCACTCTATGAGTCAGAGCTAGTGCGTAAACTAAGTGCGCCTCAGCGTGGTGATGTAGACGAGCAGTGGGATCAGATTAGAAGAGCAATGCATTCCGCAGCGAATGTTGCTTGTGGGACTGAGCCTCAAACCCGCCGAAAGCGTTGGATATCTCAGGAGTCAGTAGCCCTGTTTGACCAAAAATGGCAAGTCCCGACCTGCCAGGATCAAAGTAGGGTTAGGTGACAGTTACAACGTCGGCTCATGAAGAGCCTCAAGAAGGACCGTGAGAACTGGTGGGCAACAATAGCTAGTGAAATGGAAGTAGCAGCTGCATCAGGGAATAGTCAAAGACTGTTCCGA